GGGGGCCGTGGGCGCTGGCAGCTGGGCTAGAAGAGAGGAAGATGGGGAGTCTGTGTGGGAAGCCCCCTCTGGGGGAGAAGTAGAGGCAGGATGTTCAGGACCAGGTTCCAGGGTGTGCTGATGGCTTAGCCACCTGGCCTGTGTTTTGGGGGTTTCCTGCAGGCACCTCCTTGAGTTTCCGGCCCCCAGTGGGAGGAGAGGCCCAGGGTTTGTTCAGCAGTATGTGTCCCGCCCCAGCTGATCCTTGGCCGCCCTCAGCTGTCTCGCTGTCCTTCCCTCCTGCTCCTCAAGAATGAGGCAGGACTTACGAAAATCTCCGATATTGTGGCTGGTTCAACCCCGTGGGCATCGGATAGGGCATGGGCCATGTTCATGGGTAGGGAAACTGAGGCACGGGGTGAACCTTCTGCCTGCCTTTGCTGCAAGAGGGAAAAGGGAAATGAGACCCCACAAGAGGGTCCCCCCACCCCAGCCCGGGGTGAGGAAGTCAGGGCCCAGAAGGCACAGCAGGGAGGGCCCTGCCCCTGCCTGAGTGTGGGGTGGGAGTCGCCCGGAAGCTGGGCTCTGCCAGCCCCTCCCCAGGCAGGGCCTCTGGGCAAAGTCCTTCCATCTTCTTTGCCTCCGTTTGCTCATCTGTAAATGGGGCCTTACAGGGTGTAGCTCACAGAGACATCATCAGTGTGTGTGGCAGCTGGGGCTGGGTGTCGACGCGGCTGGGCCTGGTTGAGTGGCTGGGCAGCCGGACGCGGTGCTCCCCAGGGTGAGATTGTAATCGCCTCCATGGGGGAGTCTGCCGCGAGCAGCTGGGGAGCGATGTGGCCTGCTCTGCCACGGAAGCAGCAGCTTTGAGAAAGGCCTCTAGCTCCTTGGCACGTTTGGATCCTGTGTTTGACCAAGTCTCCATCTCAGCGGCCTGCCGCGTTGCCCGCCAACCTGGGGACTTTCCTGGACTTGAAGCGATGGCCTGCTGTGTTCCCTGCTGATCTTGGGACTGTGCCATTTTATCTGCCGACCTGGGTTCATCAGCCTCGGCAGGTGGCAGCCGCCCGAGTCAGAAAAAGCCTCCTGCTCAGGGACCTGGAACAGGAGGCAGAGGTGAAGCCAAAGGTCAAAGGGCCTTTACCCAGCCCCTAGAGCCGGCACTCTGAATTCAGAATTCTAGCCTCCTAAACTGTAAGAGGATAAATTCTTGTTTGTTAAAGCCCTCCACTTGTGGTGTGTCTGTTATAGTGGCACCAGAGAATCAAGACAGTGTGAAAGGCTGAAATACACACAGTACCTGGAACAGCATCGGGAACAGCATGGGCACTCCTGACGTGTGACCTTTATCAGCATGTGTGACCTGTATGCATCCTGGTGTGAACTGTGTGTGTCTCAAGTGTGAGATCTGTCTGTCCAGGTGTGAACTGCATGTGTCCCAGGTGTGAGCTCTGTGCATCCCAAGTGTGAGCTGTGTGTGTCTCAAGTGTGAGCTCTATGTGTCCCAGGTGTGAGCTATGTATGTCCTTGTGTGAGTTCTGCATGTTCCAGTGTGAGGTCTGTGTCCCAGTGTGAGCTGTGTGTATCTGGGTGTGAGCTCTGTGTGTATTCCTGGTGTGAACTGTATATGTCCCAGGTGTGAGCTGTGTGTGTCCAGGGTATGAACTCTGTGTCCCAGGTGTGAACTCTGTGTGTCCCATGTGAACTGTATGTCCTAGTGTGAACTGTGTGTATCCTGGGTGTGAGCTGTGTGTCTCAGGTGTGAGCTGTGTGTGTCCCATGTGTGCACTCTGTGTTCCCCAGTGTGAGCTGTGTGTATCCTGGGTTTGAGCTATGTGTGTCTGGGTGTGAGCTCTGTGTGTGTGTGTTCCAGGTGTGAACTGTATATGTCTCAGGTGTGAGCTGTGTGTGTCCTGGGTGTGAGCTGTGTGTGTCCCAGCTGTGAGCTCTGTGTATCTCAGTGTGAACTATGTGTGTCCCAGGTGTGATCTGTTGTCTCAGGTATGAGCTGTGTGTCCTGGGTGTGAGCTCTTTGTGTCCCAGGTGTGAGGTCTGTGTGCCCTAAGTGTGAGCTGTGTGTGTCTGGGTGTGACCTCTGTGTACTGGTGTCCCAGGTGTGAACTGTATATGTCCCAGGTGTGAGCTGTTTGTCTCAGGTGTGTGTGTCCCGGGTGTGAGGTCTATGTGTCCCGGTGTGAGCTGTATGTGTCCTGGTTGTGAGCTCTGTGTGTTTCAGTGTGAGGTCTGTGTGTCTTGGGTGTGAGCTGTGTGTATCCTGGGTGTGAGCTGTGCACTTCCTGGACGTCGCAGCCAGCTTCCCAAGACCAGCACCCTCTTCCCCTGCTCCACCCCGCCCTCACCCTGTCCTCCTCCTCCCGCAGGAATAAATACAATCCGAGGTTTGCTATTAAATCCATTTTATTTTTATTGGATTCCAACAAATACAGAGGGAGGCAAGTGGAGGTGGGGGGTGGAGGCCCAGAGTCTTGGGTCCTGTTGGGGAGTGATCAGAGGGGCCAGGAGATCCAATCACACAGGCTCTCTCTTAACCCTAACGCTGCTGAGAACGCACCCCTCCGTCTTTGATGAGGCTAAAGGCACTTTGGATGTCATGTTGAGGGGCCTTCAGGGTTGTCATGGCAACAGAGTCAGGAAGAAGCTGAGGCAAAACAGTCGGTCCTGCCAAGCTCAGGGGCAAAGATTTGGGTCCCAGGACACCACCTTGCCCCTCACTTGGCTCCCACCCTGGCTGGGAAAGATGCCATGTTCACAGGATGGCCAGGGCCTCCTGACGCTCCCGGCCACAGCCCCTCAAGAGCAGCCCAGGCCCCTTTCTGAGCTCTGCTTAATCCTTTGCTCCGAGCCTCCAGGCTGGTGTTTTCCTCTGGCTCATCTCAGAAGGGTGTGAGGGACCTAGTCCGGGGCTCAGACTGCAGTGACGCCCTGTCCACAGGCCTGGCCTCCGTGTCCATGGCAATGGGATTGACCCTCAGACCCAGCTTACAGAGGAGGACATTGAAGGTCCAGGTGGTCCCCCATTGCCAGCTCAGGTAAGAGAGTGCTGCTCCAGGTGGGGCAGAGCTGGCTTTGAGTCTTCCTACAAAGCCCATGAGGACACTGTCTAGCCCCTGGGGTCAGTGACCAAGGTCTTTTCTGACTGAGGTCAGGCTATGCTATGTTTCCTGTGCCCCTTCCCCAACAATGCCCTAATTGTTGTCTGACCAAGGCGGGCATGGAGTTAAAACCAGACCGGTAAGACCAAGTCATGGAAGGAATACTTCATCAAAACCCCAGCTCCAGCTTGCTTACCCCCAGTGATGGGGAGCTCATTACCCGAGCATCATGAAGGCAGTGGCTTTGAGGAGCTCTGCTTTAAACCAAGCCCCAATCTGCTCATGACACACCCTCTAAATCTAAGCCCACCCCATCTCCTTCCAGTGACCCGGGTCCCGGCCTCCCTGTAGCCTGAACCCACAGATCAGGTCTCGCTCCCCACCGCTGCCTCTGGAATGGCACCACAAGAACGCCCTGCCCTCTGTAGTCTTGTTCCCACAGGAGCAATGCGTCGGGGGCCACTCTGGCATCCAGTCTGAGGCTGGCTCAGCAGTCAGTGCATGCCCAGGGCTGGCGGTCACTCCAGCTGACCCTGTTGAAGAGAGAACTCGAGGAACCGTGACCCCCCATGGGATGGGCACCTCCCCACCAAACAGTCCAAGACAGAAAGGAAGTGCCAGCTTTAAAGGGATGGAGGTTGCTGGGGGCATGGCTTAACCTGGCGGGCCTGAGGGTCTAGGAGGAAGAGAGTCTGGGAGAAAGTGCATGGAGTGAAAGCACGTTGAAACTACCTGGTGTGTGCTGGGCCCCCTCTAGGTAAGCCTGACCTGCTCAGCAAGACCTTAACCTGGCCCCTGAGATCCCACCAGACATGCTCCGGTGAGAAGTGAGTCAGGTGCGAGCTGTGAGTGACCCGAGTGTGAGCTGTGTGTGTCCCAGGTGTGAGCTGTGTGTGTCCTGGGTGTGAGCTGTGCATATCCGAGGTGTGAGCTCTGTGCGTGTCCTGGCTGTGAGCTGTGTGTGTCCCAGATGTGAGCTGTGTGCATGTCCCGGGTGTGAGCTCTGGGCACCCCGGTGTGAACTGTCTAGGTCCCAGGTATCAGCTCTGGGTATGATGCATGTGTGTCCCAGCTATGAGCTCTCTTTGTCCAGGTGTGAGCTGTGTGAGTCACACTGTGAACTGTGTGTATCCCTGGTGTGAGCTCCGCATGTCCTGAGAGTGGATTGTATGTGTCCCAGCTGTGAGCTGTGTTTGTGTAAGCGTGAGCTATGTGTGTTCCATTGTGAGCTGTGTGTGTCCCAAGTGACAACTGTAAGCATCCTGGCTGTGAGCTCGGTGTTCTCCTGTGAGAGTCCTGTTCGCCCTTGTGGGGCCTCTGGGTTGGGGTTCACATCTGGGTGTGAGCTGGGAGTGAGGTGTGACCTCTGAGCTGTGAGTCTCTGTGTGTCTGGCTGCATGTCCCTTGTGTGAATCACTCTGTGCCTTGGATGTAACCTCTATGGTGTCCAGGCGTGAACAGCACAGGTTCTCCAAGTGTCCCTACTCAGGGACCGTGGGACTGTATGTGGGTCCAGGTATAAACCGTGTCCCACAGGTGCGAGCCCTGCCTGGGGACCCTCGGGGTAGCAGCTGGGTCCATCCTGGGAGTGGACTGTGTTGTGAGGGCCCGAGCCCCGCACCCCACCCTGGGTTGGTGGAAGGGTGCCCAGCCCCTATTCCAACTCAGCCATCAAGGCCTGAGGGCGGGGCCGGAAGACACAGGTCGAAACCTTTAGAAAACGCTTGAGAAACTGCAAAAGATGCGTCCTGATGAAAAAAGTCCTGCGGTTGAGTCTACAAAAAGGGGAAGTCCTGCCGAGAGCCGCGCGCAGCCCCCGTGGGGACGATGCATAGGTGGTAAGAGAGACCAGCCCGCCAGCCCTGCAGTGGGCGCGGCCTGGCCGCCCCGGCTGGGCCTCCCGGCGCGTCAGATCATCTTCATGTTGAATTTGCGGGCGCCCCCCTGGCCCGCGGCGGCAGCCGGCCCGTCCACCTTGCGGAAGGAGTACTCCACCGAGAAGTTGTTCTTGTGCTGCCCGCGGCCACGGCTCCACACGAACAGCAGCAGGAAGCAGAAGAGGACTACGCCCAGGAAGGTGATGCAGCCCATGGCGGTGGACACCAGGATGGTGGTCAGGTCCAGCGGGAAGCGGGCGGCCGCCAGCGTTTCGTTGCGCCCCTCGCCCGGGGTCCGGTTGGCGGCCGGCTCCGCCTGCACCGTCAGCGTGGCGAAGTAGGTGTCGTTGCCGCCGGCGTTGCTGGCCACGCACGTGTAGGTGCCGCTGTCCTGCGGCCGCGCGTCGCGGATCTCCAGGGTGCCGCCCTGCAGCAGGCGGGCGCGCCCGGCGCCGGCGGCGGTCACCACGCGGTGCTGGGGCGTCACCCAGGCCACGGTGGGCACCGGCTCGCCCTCGGCGCGGCAGAGGAAGCGGACGTCCTCGCCCGCGGTGACCGCCGCGTGCTGCAGCCGCCGCTCGCGGATTTTGGGCTTGCGACACACGAAGTACTCGAACAACGCGGAGTCGGGCAGATCGCGGAGCGCGTCCCCGCGCACCTCGGCCGGCGTGGCGCAGGCCGGCAACCGCCCGTCGAAGTTGAGGGTCTTGCGCCGCTGGACGATCCACAGCAGGCGGCAGTCACAGGCCAGCGGGTTGCCGTCCACCCTGAGCGTCTCCAGCGTGTTGACCGAGTGGAAAGTGCCCTCCTCCAGGGTGGACAGCTGGTTGTTGGAGAGGTTCAGCAGGCGGATCTGCCGCAGCCCCAGGAAGGCCTGGGGCTCCACCACGGCCAGCAGGGCCCCGGCCAGGTGCAGCTCTCGCAGCCGGACCAGATCCCGGAAGGACCCGCGCGGCACCGTGCTGATGGGGTTGTAGGACAGGTTGAGGCAGGTCAGGTGGGCCTGGTGGCTGAGCGCGGCGGCCGGCACGGCAGTGATGTTGGTGTGAGTGACGGAGAGCGAGGTCAGGTTGAGGCCCTGCAGGCTGCCCGCCGCCACCTCCTCCAGCAGCGGCCAGTTGTCGATCTCCAGGTGCAGCAGCCCGGGAAGTTTCCGGAAGTTCTGGTCCTCCAGCTCGGCGATGGCCAGGTGGCGCAGACGCAGGGCGCCCAGGCCACGCAGGTGGCCCAGCGACTCGCCCGACAGCGCCGTGAGGTTGCAGCGCTCCAGCGTCAGCTCCTCCAGGGCCAGCAGCCCCGCGAAGGCCTGGCGGGAGATGAACACCAGGTCGTTGTCGCCCACCTCGAGCCGCCGGAGGCTGCGCAGGTCCTGGAAGGCGTAGTCCAGCAGGACCACCAGCCTGTTCTCGCTGAGGTCCAGCAGCGTCAGGTTGCCCATGCGCGTGAAGACGCCGGGCGGGATGAGCGTCAGCTGGTTCCCGCGCAGCCGCAGCACCCGCAGGCGCGGCAGGTGGTCGAAGGCGCCGGGCTCCACGTGCGCGATGACGTTGTCGCTGAGGTCGAGCTCCTCCAGCAGCGGCAGCGCGGCCAGGTCGCCCGGGTTCAGGCAGCGGATGCGGTTGCGGCTCAGCTCCAGCACGCGCGTCTCGGCCGGGATGCCGTCGGGCACGGCGGTCAGCCGGCGGCGCGGACAGGCCACCG